GAGACTTAGTGATCTGCTCCAGGACTGAAGCTAACGTTAGCTCCGGGGCTAACTCCCTAACGTCGTCCTTGTCCTCAGCAGGTAAACAGAAACAGGGAAGTTGGGGTCTTTATTATCAGCCACACCGAGCACAACAGAACATAAACAGAGTTTTAACAGCTCCTGTATAACCAACTCGTGCTCTGAACTTTCGCTACGGTTCTCTCGCACGCGCCCCTCGCACATATACGCACATAGCCATTCACAGACAGACGCTACTAGTATAACACACAGTAGCCTACCATTTTGATCGCTAGCGCTATGAACTTCGCTAGCACGTAAAAATCCATAAATTAGCCGCATCATTGTTCACGCCGCAGGGTTCAAAGCGTGTGAACAAAGTAACGGCTTATAGTCTGGAAATTACGGTATGTTTTTTCATAGGGGCTGGGGGGTGCATTGAGGCGCCGGGAGGGGTCAGCGCGGTTTGGGCGTGAGAGGTTTCCATTGGAGTACGGCATGCTGCACAAAAGTGTGGCTCTGCTGTAATGCTTAAACGATAAATAAGGCCTCCAGTCACTAGGGGGCAGCAACTCACACAGATAATCAAATTTGTATTGTCAGGTTCTCAATAGTATTTCAATTCAGTGGGGGGGGCATGACAGAAAATAATTGAGAACCACCAGGTTACAGCAATGACAAATAACTTGACCTGATCTACTGTATATAACGATGGCTGCACTGCACACCTCACCAGAGTCTGACGCTTCAGTGCGCTTTAGTCGCGTTGACAAATCGTTTCCGTGTCTGTGATCCTTCTTCAGACACAGCTGTTAGTGTGTTAGATACTTTCGAGTATTTTCAAAACCTGTCAAGGCCGTGAAAGTCACGTCTACCCAGTGGAGTGTTGCAAAATCCACGTCGAGCCAAAATCGACACGGTTATCGTCAGTTTTGGCATTGACTGACTTCCTTCTCATCCAAGGTTGGCGGCAGACAAAAGGTCCGCTTTTTAAAGAAAAAAAAAAACAAAGATTCAACTCGAGTGCTCGGGCTTAAAAGTCCTTCGATCAAACCGTTCGTAGAAACATAAAACCCTGAATATACATCGGGATGTTGAGATTCTGGCGTCTCTAAAGATTCTCCATCCTTGGATAAACACGTATTTCCAGGACAAACAAATATAAAAGCAAAGACTGTGAATTATAGCAGTGTGTTTGCCTCAAAGCTTCTCTCCTCTGTTCAGTTTCTGGTGGGAAAAACAAATGCCCTCTCTGAAAACCCCCCTGTGTTCCAGCTATGGATTCAGGGGCGTCATCAGCTTGATGGTAGTTTAGAGTTTATTTCAGAGGAAAAACAGCAGTTTAACCTTCGGCTTTTGTCTGACTATGAAGAGAAGCCTTTAAACGTGCTGAAAGACTGAAAGTCGTGGGTTTGTTTTTTTCTCCCCAACTTGATAAACAGTGTGCTCACTGCTGCTTTAATGTGGTGTTTCTTTATGGGAAAAACCATTTAGTCCAAAGTTCAACTGCAGCAGACGTCTGGGATTATAAACATTAACAAATGTGATGGAATATCGTGGTGTAGAAACCCCCCTGTGTTCCAGCTATGGATTCAGGGGCGTCATCAGCTTGATGGTAGTTTAGAGTTTATTTCAGAGGAAAAACAGCAGTTTAACCTTCGGCTTTTGTCTGACTATGAAGAGAAGCCTTTAAACGTGCTGAAAGACTGAAAGTCGTGGGTTTGTTTTTTTCTCCCCAACTTGATAAACAGTGTGCTCACTGCTGCTTTAATGTGGTGTTTCTTTATGGGAAAAACCATTTAGTCCAAAGTTCAACTGCAGCAGACGTCTGGGATTATAAACATTAACAAATGTGATGGAATATCGTGGTGTAGATTACCGCCATTTCCGGACTATTGAGCGCACCCGAATATAGGCCACACCCACTAAATTTGAAAATAAAAAAATAATGGTACAGCTACAGGCCGCACTAAGAAAACACTTCACTTTCCCAGTGATCGATTTTAAATTAAAATCAGATAAATATTTTAAATGTAAAAAAAAAAAAAATCGGATAAATCTGATAAAGAAGAAAATGTATTTCTCTCTCTTATCTTTGTACAGGGAGCAGTCATTTCAAATCAAAAATGGCATTTGACCTCCCGACAGAAAGGTGTTCTATTGTTAGCTTTACACTAAACTCTTAAGTAGCTTCACTAACGCATACTTAGTAGGCTACTGTCAGCATCAAAATCCTCCTAGCGACGTAGGAACTACGTTAGCCCGTAACAATCCATAAATTAGCCGCATCATTGTTTAAGCTGCAACGTTCGAAAAAAAGTAGTGGCTTATAGTCTGGAAATTACGGTAGTTGTTCATGTGTCCGATCGACTTGAAACAGATCCCAGTGTCATGTTGGGCGCAGTTTGAGTTCTCCTTGACTCAAATGCTCTTGTCGTCAGCTGTCAGCTGTCGGTCTGCGGCTCCTTCACGTACTATTCAAGAGGAAAAGATGAAAAAAGTGGATGGTGTGCTTTTGCAGCTTTCCACAACACACGTCCCGCGGGACTCAAATCAAGGGACGCCAGTGGGAAGGCAAAGGGACCAACAGAGGGATGGAGAGCATTAGCAGACTTGCTCAGCTGACTTCCTCCTCCTTCGTACCTCTCATGTTCATCTTTCCACTTGTTTCCGCCCTGATGTGAAGGCAGCCTGCTGTGTGTTTGACTGCCTGTGTCTGTGTGGTGCTGCGACGCGGCTGCTTCGGAACGCCGAGGCTGCGTATATGGTTGAGTTCCCTGTGGTTCCGTGTGAATTTGTCAAACGAGCTGTCAAGATCGTCATTTTTTTTTTTCAAATCAAATCAAATCTACTGCCATCCGTACAGCTCCATTCAAAATCTGGGTACATTTTTTCCAAATTCCAAGAATGAGCTGTGACTTAACAAGAAAACCAGCAAAAAAAAAACAAAAACCCAAAAGACACAGACCATTTAAAATGACTTTTGTTCTGTTTGTATTCCGTCTGAGCACTTTACTGAAGCTTTATTGTCCAATTAAAAAGAATTGCAGAACAGTGAATGCACCCGTCTTAGCTGTAAACCAAAGTTAAGCTCTGTTTTACACACCAACACTGCCGAGGACTAAAATTAATCCCGGTATAAAACAGAAAGTTCACCCGTTGCTTTAATTTTTCGATGGGGTTGACTGAATTAATTAGGGCTGTCAACAGATTAAAATTTATAATCAGATTGAGATGAAACGTTATTGTAACACGTAACTGTATTTTATACATATTTTATACAGTTTTGTACATATCTTATCATGATTAGTCATTAATAATTGCAGTCATATTTTATCACGATTAATCGTGATTAATCGAAATTATATTTTATCACGATTAATCGTGATTAATCGAAATTATATTTTATCACGATTAATCGTGATTAATCGAAATTATATTTTATCACGATTAATCGTGATTAATCGTGATAAAATATAATATCGATTGATCGTGATTCATTTCAATCATATTTAACCACAATCAATGATGATACAGCAACGAAATGTATCATTTTTTTACAGGTAGAGGTCTATGTTTCTCGCACATTTTGTTTGCTACACTTTTCTCGAATTAGAATTTATCTTGTATATTTCTATTTGCTTAATGTCGATTGTGTCGAATATGCACAGTTTTTTGAGTAACTCACGGTTGCATTTCGCTGTACAGTGGTCGTGTGTACGAGTGGTTGCATGTATAACTGATCACGTGACAGTACAGTATGAAGCCTTGAGTCTTGCGAAAGTGCGTTTCAACCTAAATCCCACCTGTTTCCTTCAGTATACCTCGTCTCTAACGTACGACGGTGTCCTCGTCATGGCCGAAGCCTTTCGTACCCTGCGACGTCAGAAAATCGATATAAGTCGCCGCGGTAATGCCGGTGACTGTCTGGCCAATCCGGCAGCTCCGTGGAACCAAGGGATAGACATGGAGCGTGCCCTCAAACAGGTAGGGAACATATGTGATTTAAAAACAGCTGAAGTGACTGCTGAAGTCTCCAAATTCTAATTGTCATTGTTCTCTAAATACAGGTGCGGATTCATGGCCTGACTGGAAATATCCAGTTTGACCATTTCGGCCGCAGGGTCAACTACACCATGGATGTGTTTGAACTGAAAAGCAACGGACCACGCAAGGTGAGCTGAGAGGGACATTTTGAATGACCGGAATGCCACAAAAACAGACAAAGAATCTGAGGAACTTTGTTTATCCTTAAACAAAACCCATTCAACTTTTCTTCTATTTAAGCACCAACACTTAATGTTCAACTATAAATTTAGGTTTCCACTTAGAAACAAGTGGCTGAAAAGTGATAAAAATATCCCCGACTAATTGACTTTGCGTCACTGGGGTGGCTTTAAGCTTTTAGCTGCAGCTCCTAGACAACCTTGAAAAATTAAAAGAAGAAGAAAAAAAATATGTTTCAATGGCATGAAGACTTTCAAACATAAAGGTGACATTTATTAGTGAAATGGAAAAAAGTTCAATTCCCCGTTGTGCTGTCTGACAATCATTTCCCTTCAGTGGAGACCTGAAGATTAATCTGCTCTGAGTATTTTTTATTTATTTTTCTTACCTAGTTTTTTGCAGCTGCTCCTTTTGTTTCATATGTCAAAGTCTTTTTATGGTATGATGAATTATTTAATTCTTTTTCCTTTTGTTTCATATGTCAAAGTCTTTTTGATGATATGATGAATTATTTAATTCTTTTTTTTTTTTTTTTTACCAGATTGGCTACTGGAATGACATTGACAAGCTAGTGTTGGTCCAGAATGAAAATGCTCTGTCCAATGACAGCTCAGCGATGGAGAACAGGACGGTAGTCGTGACGACCATTATGGTATTGTACCTCTTTCCTTCTTGTGTTTCTACCTTGTCAGTGTCGTTGTTTGAAAGCAATGAAAATGAATAAGACAAAGACGAAAAAAAATCCCGATTTGATGAAACGCTCGAATACGAGCGAGTGGCAGAGGGATCAATGAAGGGTTACAACAGATGAAAACTTTCCCCACATAACTGTTCCGTAGTGAACATGAACCAGGTTTCTCTGATGCTCCGGTCATTAGCCGGGTGTAATTATGACCTTTTCTTCCAGAAACACGGTTAAAGAAGGGATAATTGCCGGATTTGTTGCTCAGCCTTTCCTTACGTTTGACTTGACTTCACCCATCTGCAGCCTTTTTATAGTGGCCACCCCGCCCCCCCACCACACCCCCCTTCCTGTAAGTCTAATCACGGTAATTCAATTGGGCATGCAAAATGATGCAAGTGGAAGCAACTCAAAAGACCAATTTGAGTCCAGAGATAAGAACAGACACAGGAGGTTTTGTGCCAGGGCAGAGAACTCATCCTCAGGCATCAGGAAAATAAATGTAGCTGCACTTTCTGCAGTGTCATGTTGTTAAAAAAAAAAAAAAAATCAATGAATTTTGCCTGATCATAAAGAAAAGTGTTGCCCAACCCCCCCGTGGCCTAACGTAATGAAATCTGCACTAGGGAGTTCAAGCACACATGCTGCAGGTCAGAGTGCCGGGAAACAAATGATCTGTGGTCGTCGCTCCCAGTTACAGAGCCCGGTGACTGAGTTCAATGTATATTAAAAAAAAAAAAAAAAAAAAAATCGGTTCTTCACTGTTGTATCAGGAGGGAGAATAAGACGAGAAACACGTGAGATTAAATCAGTCATTTCTTGTCCTGTAAATATAAAAATAAAATGTTGCTCATGACATCCATACAGTGTAAAAACAGCATTGTGTTGAAATTGGAAATGATCCGAAATACCTCCTTTGGAAGTATGTTCCTTCCCCATTTTCCCTCCCCCTACCATTTGTCAGTCTTTCCAATCCTGTCATCCTGTCTGTCTTGTCCTCCTCACCGTATCTCGTTGTTTTTGTGACTTTGACCCTCACCCGTCACCCCTCCACGCCACCTCCCACCTCCATATTTCTCTGTGGATGGTGACCTCAGCAGGCCTTGGCTAATGTTAGCTCAGCCGCCTCCTCCTCTTTGCAGCCTCTGATGATGAGGAAGCCTCTGCTGTGACACTGATGCCGATGTCTGCAGACAGAGCCGCAGAGTGAGACGCAGACTCACCTAAGTCGTAAACCCCTCGGGGGAAGAGAAAAGGACAGACAGTGACAGACTATGTGTCTTTAAGGCTCCGCGCAAGGACAAAATGAATCCGCCTTTTTCTTTCCGTGCCGCCTTTTCTTCTTGGTCTCGTCGCCTGTTTTACCCGGCTCGGCTGGAGAAACAGTTTTGACCTGCATTTGCATACTAAATATGTTCCTGGTGTGTCCATTTGTTGCAATGTTTATGGGATCAATGGGCAATTGCAGTGTTTTGTTTTATTCTTTTAATGGACGTCATCTCTTGTTTTCTGAAAATTTGAAAAACACTTCGCAACGTTTCTTTTCAAAAAACTTTTTGTTGATGTCTTCTTAGTCTTTTACTTACATTTTTTTTTTATTTTAAATACATATTTATTGACATTAACAATGCTGTCATCCGTGTAGTCATTGTGCAAAATAGACAAAGGCATTTCTATATTTGTTTATGTTTTGAAGGTCATTGTGATGTTTCTTTAGTCGAGCTGATGTAGTATTGTAAACCAATATACATTCATCTGTGCAGTGTTGTTTCTTGGCAGTACCCACAACCTTGGAATCTGCACAATACCTGTGTTATTTATGTGTTATTTATGTGTTTTGTCACAAGACATTGTCAGACAGAAATATTTTCCAGAAAAATATATATTTACACAAACAACAAAAAGACTAAGTGAAGAACATCGTCATGGTTCTTTAGTCTCACTCGGACTTTTTTTTGGCTTTTGTTACAGTACTAATCAACTGGTTAACACGTGCTGTGGATCAGTGGAAGCTGGTCGTTTGGCTGAGGGACTACAGTGTTTTATAATCACTTGATGTTGGAGAAGTGGGTGTTAGTTGTTGACTGGCTGTGAAGTTGTTTTTTTTTTTTCAATTTTTAAGACCAACCATTGACATCCTGCAAGTAAAAAGAAATCCAGAGATAGCAAAAAAGAGCAGGCGAGCGAGGCAGAGAGAGTGTGCATCTGATAAGATAAGTGAGAGAAAGGAAGTGTGTCAGTGTGTCAGTTTATGACGTAGGTCGATGAACGCGAGCACTCGGATTAGCTGGTTTGGCCAAAAAGACCGATTCGATTTTTTGCAGTTTTGCAACACGTTACGTTTGTGAGTGGTCAAAAAACCAGCCATGATAGGTCGGCAGGTCGAAATGATGCAATGTACCGTACACAAACAGTTCACATCACCTAATATTCTGCTTTTTGTTTTATTCTTTTAATGGACGTCACAATATCCTCTTGTTTTCTGAATATTTGAAAAACACTTCTCAACATTTTTTTAAACTTTTTTTGTTGATGTCTTCTTAGTCTTTTACTTACATTTTTTTTTTATTTTAAATACATATTTATTGACATTAACAACGCTGTCATCCGTGTAGTCACAAAGGAATTTCTATAATTGTTTATGTTTTGAAGGTCATTGTGATGTTTCTTTAGTCGAGCTGATGTAGTATTGTAAACCAATATACATTCATCTGTGCAGTGTTGTTTCTTGGCAGTACCCACAACCTTGGAATCTGCACAATACCTGTGTTATTTATATGTGTTTTGTCACAAGACATTGTCAGACAGAAATATTTTCCAGAAAAATATATATTTGCACAAACAACAAAAAGACTAAGTGAAGAACATCGTCATGGTTCTTTAGTCTCACTCGGACTTTTTTTTGGCTTTTGTTACAGTACTAATCAACTGGTTAACACGTGCTGTGGATCAGTGGAAGCTGGTCGTTTGGCTGAGGGACTACAGTGTTTTATAATCACTTGATGTTGGAGAAGTGGGTGTTAGTTGTTGACTGGCTGTGAAGTTGTTTTTTTTTTCAATTTTTAAGACCAACCATTGACATCCTGCAAGTAAAAAGAAATCCAGAGATAGCAAAAAAGAGCAGGCGAGCGAGGCAGAGAGAGTGTGCATCTGATAAGATAAGTGAGAGAAAGGAAGTGTGTCAGTGTGTCAGTTTATGACGTAGGTCGATGAACGCGAGCACTCGGATTAGCTGGTTTGGCCAAAAAGACCGATTCGATTTTAAAGTTGGTGGGCTAGCATGTGTTGGCTAGCAGAAACCCAAAGACTTTTTCTAACATAAGAACAGTTTTGCAACACGTTACGTTTAAGAAGAGTGGTCAAAAAAAACAGCCATGATAGGTTGGCAGGTCGAAATGATGCAATGTACCGTACACCAACAGTTCACATCACCTAATATTCTGTTGTTTTTTTCGGGGACCAACTGACTGCCTCTGACTGGCTGCTGACTGTTTGTAGAACTGACAGCCTGATTAGCAGTAAACCGATTTTCCCTCCAGAGACAATTACAGGACCTCACCGGCCAAAAATATTACTGGGGACAATGACGCCCTGTAATGGCCGCAATTAATTAATGAATAAACTGATTGACCAAGTGCGAGGCTGAAACAGCCCGTGACTAACCAAATGCCTGGCCTGGCCCATCGACCATGTGAATGAATGTTAGCAGGCTGATTAAATGTCTTGGTGCTTGGCTAACTCCTCTCGGGACAGCCTGGCTTTTTGAATGCTGCACTGATTAAGTGCCTGCTTGGCAGACTGGACGCATAACTGGACAGTGAGGTGAGGTGTCCAGTTGGAAGCCTGTCTTATTTTCCGATTCCTCATTCACCGACTTCCGTAACAGCTCTGCTCTGCTTTTTGGCTTCTAACGTGACTTTTTTTTTTTTTTTTTTTTGAATGTCTTATCAGCCTCAAACATTTGCCTTTACAAAGCCGCCCTCCCTCCCTGGTTCACCTACATTTTTTTCCCCCTACTCATTTCATCTCATCACCTCTGCCTCTCTTTCTCCTCACCTCTGCTCCCACTCTTTTCCCGCTCCATTTTTCATTTTTTGTCACATTTTCTCATTTTCGCTATCTCTCCATCTCACTTTCCACTTCTCTTCCTGTGGTGATCTGTTTCTGTCTGTATCCTGATCTGCCGCTCTGTCTCTCTTCTTTGGTTTCATGCCGCCAATACACTGCACATCCTCCTCCTTCTTCCTCACTCAGCTTTCCGCTTATTTCTCCTCTTTCTTCCATTTAACTCACATATTTTAGCTACGCTGAATTTTTTTTTTTTTTTTACCACCCAAACCAGTGATTCATGATTTCCTATTGTAACTACAGGCACTAAAGACATTCACTACACACCAGAACACTGACACACACTGTTAGGATGATGACCTTCACATTGACACTGAAAAAAAAAAATGTCTGCAGAGAACTGATAAGACTGCTTCATGCTGGATTTTGTCTTTAAAAAGTTTTTTTTTTTTTTTAAAGTTCACTGGTTGGCATAGCATCCACTGGTGCATTTTATGGGTGTCCTTAGGGAGTGCATTAGTGGGTGGAGGGTTTTTTAAGATAATTCTTAATCAACTCAAAGTAGCTTGTTCTTTTTTTAACACTTTGGATAATTAACTTGGGGCTGGGAATATGCAGAGTTTTTGCCTCCTTATTAAAACCTAATCGGAGTAAAATTCCTCATGAGACTGCAGTGATTTTAGATTCAAGGAAGACTCATAATCTCATCATGTTTTGTGATCTGATGGTTAGTTAGTGGTCAGGTTGGATTGTCAGAGTTTCGGTTTCTCTGTAGGAGTTTGTCAGTTTCCACTTGGAATAAAAAAAATAAAATAAAAAAAAAAAAACATTTCCACACGTGGGCGACGTTTTCCTAGTCTAAAGACTGACAGCCTGTGGAGTCAGACGGCTCTGGCCTGAGGTACAGCGAAAATCTGTCGAGGTGAAAATCTGATTCTCCTCAGTTATTATCTAGTTCTCTTGCAACAGGTCTTTCATTCAGCTAAGCCTCTGCAGACTGCAGGTTACCAAGGTAATAATTAATGCAATAGGTGGATGTGGGCGAAGGCCTTGGCAGAAAAAAATAAAATGGGAGGAGGAGGAGGAGGAGGAGAAGGAGAGTGGCAGCCAGTCGTGAGTCTGGTTTTATTTTCATGCGAGAAATGTTTGTTTTTATCTCCATATCCTGGAGATGGACGCTGCAGTGAGAACCACCACTGAGCTGGTTTGGACTGGTTCAGACCCGGAGACAGGATTAGATCGAAAATGTGTAAACCGAGATTGAGTAAGTTCACTTCAACGACAGATTTTTAAGGGTTAGGCTGTGATTTTAAATGTGTTTTTTTTTTAATATTACCAATTACTAGTCTTTACTGCGCTGTACATTAATTTTATTGGGTAAATATTAAATAAAAACCCTGGTCCAAAGTGTCCGTTTAACACAGATTGCCGCAGTATTCTGCTGTACCACTCTACTGATTCCTGACTTAAAGGAAGTATAACAGTCGTTTCCTGACAGTGTTTTTAAGTAAATGGTAAATGAACGGTTGATTCGATTTTGAATTAAATAATTATAATATTCAATTACTCACCATGCATATGTTTCAGTAAACATTAGTACAGATTCTATGATCACGACTATGCAAATTCAGTGCTGATGGCCCATATGAAGTAATACGACGGGCCAGATTCGGCCCGCAGGCCTTGAGTTTGACCTATGGGATCTTGAAGAGCACCAATAATCACCGTTGACAAATCAATAGTAGCGACATCACACATCAACACGTGTTTGCAAAACGCTTTTAAGACTTTCACTTTCAAAGTACTGTAACAATGATCAATAAATATTGATCAATATTGATTTAATCAATAAATCATTAAAAATGACAAGAGTCGACGATAAAAAAAATGTATGTAAAGGTAACTTTTCACAATTACAGTTGAGCATTTAAATTCAAATTATTTAAATGGTTGCTATGCGTTAAAGTTTGACTTAGTAAAATTAAAGTTTAATGCCAATAATGATCTGAAGTCTACATGTTAATTTAATTGATCTGGTACTAAATGACCAGCGACTGCGAGAGTTTCTTGTTTGACCCATCATCCAATAACATGTAATGAATGTTGCCATCATTAAGGTCCCAGCAGTGAGCTATACAGTAAATGCAAAAAAAAAAAAAAAAAAAAAACTTAATTCCTGATGTTGTTTTTCAAACTGCTTTGTCAGCACGTGAATGCAACATTGATTGTGTTTCTTCAACAGACAAGTACTCTGTGGGTTTTCTGATCTGTGTCTAAGTGTGTATTCAGTACACAGCAGTGATTTCACTACACTCGTGCAAATGTCAGAATATAAACGACCAGACACGTGACGCCGCTCGGGTCATGTTTCAGCCGTAACGCTGTTCACCGTAGTGTCATGTGACTGAATATTTGTTCGATGTCATAACAAGACGTTTATGATGCATTTGATTGTAATTACCTGCACATGTATCGTCCAAATGAGTCCGAGGTGTTGAATTTAAATGGACAAATCTTTCTTCACCAATGCTAAATAAAACGCTTTGTATTTCTCTGGGTTCGTGTACAAAATGCTTTGATTTTTTTTTTTTTTTTTTTCAAATTTGAATTATAGACGTCTTTCAAATGTTTGCATCTTTTGTATTGTTTTGAATGCAACTGTTGCTCCACATTTGTTTTAAGACAATGTTAACATGTACTTAGAATTATACGTTTTGATTACGCGTGTAATATTTTCTGACCGTAAATATTTTGCTGGATGTTTTTTGTGCATAATGATTAATAAATGGTGGAGATTACATAGGCCCGGATTAACGTGGATTACGGGATGAGCCTCAGGCTTAAGGCTGTAATTTTCCCGTGTTTATAGCTACTTTGTCATTCAGAAGAATGTAGGTTTTTCTGCCGGCGTCAGAGCCGCTTTAATGTGTGTGTCACGTGAACGTAATCTTTTCCCTCTCTCTCTTTCTTTCTTCTTACCTTGTACCCACCCTTTAATTTGTCCCCTTTCCCCTTTATCCTTCATTGTGTCATAATTTAAATGTGTGTAGGTTCAGAATGCGGTGCTGCACAGATTGAAGCCCCATGTGGATGAGATTTGGAAAACAGTGATACACTATCACCTTGTTGGAAATGATATGCTCCTGTATTTTTCCCAGGACAGAATAGTTGGGTTTTTTTTCTTTTTGCCATGTTAACAACAGGCAGCTGCTGCCTCCCTCTGATATCATATCTCTACACAGTATATATATATATATATACCTCTTAATGATGCTGTCATGTTCCTCCAAACAGATGTGTCTTTCTCCCCCTATGCTGGTTCTGTAGGAAGGTCCCTACGTGATGCTGAAGAAGAACTGGGAGCTCTACGAAGGCAACGACCAGTATGAAGGATACTGCGTGGACCTGGCCTCAGAGATAGCGAAACACATCGGAATCAAGTACAAAATTTCAATTGTACCAGACGGGAAATATGGAGCCAGAGATCCGGAGACGAAGATATGGAACGGCATGGTCGGAGAGCTTGTCTATGGGGTGAGTTCAAGGACTCACTGAAACAAAAGCTTTGGTTGGTGTGTTTTTATTTATTTTTTTCATATTGTTTTGCCAGAGATTGCCTTTACAAACTGCAGGTCATGGCTGTGTAGTCACAATACTATGTATTTGATAATAGCAAAGAAAAGTGACATACTCCGGTAAATTCTGGCAATTCAATATTGGATTGTGTTGTAACGCATTATAGGTGACACCCAAGGCTTTTATTCGACCCAGAAATGTGGGTTTAAAAAAAGATTATACAGCCAGTATCTACAAAAACATTCGTCTTTGGTTGTCGGTCTGTTTGCTTAATTTTTTTTTTTATTTTATTTTATAACTGTGTTGTTCAACATCATGAGTGATGTGAGGGAGCAGCTGGAAGGAAATCTGAACAGGTGGAGGTTTTTTTCTCCAGAGCGGAGACAAGTGAAGGTCAGCAGGAGCGAGACAGAATACATGTGGATAAATGAGACTGAGACAAGTGCAAAGATGGAGTTGCAGTAGATCAGTGCTTCTCAAATAGTGGGGCGGGCCCCACCGAGGGGGCGCGGTGAGATGCCGGGAGCGGGACGTGACAGGTTTCCAATGGAATATGGCACGCTGGACATCAGTGTACCACTGCTGTAATGCTTGAATGATAACAAGCCTCCAGTCACTAGGGGGCAGCAACTCATACAGTGGTTTGTACAGATAAAAATATGCATGTTACCAGGTTGTCAATAGTATTTCATTTCAGGAGGGAGTGGGTTGGGGGGAGGGTGCGTGAAAACGTTTCTGTCCCCAAGGGGGGGGGGGGGGGGGGGCGGGG